GGGGGGGGGGGGGGGGACACCCGCAGTGCTAAGCAGTTGAAAGGACGGGTCATGTGCCGCCGCCGCGGCGGCAACCGGCGAGGGCGACGCGGACAGCGGCGGCGGCGAGGGCGAGGCGGACGGCGGCGGCGCAGGCAAGGCGGTGGGAGGCGGCGGCAGAGGCGGCGGCGGCGACGTCGAGGCGGACAGCGGCGGCGGCGGAGAAGTCGAGGCCGATGGAGGCGGCGAGGCCGGCGGCGAGGGAGGGCACGCAAGCGAGCCCCACGAGTATTCCCACGCGCTCGTCTGTGCGACGAAGCTTGCGTGGATGAGCGCCTTGTTGCAGTCGCTGAGGGAGGTGGCGCCGTCGAACATGCCGTCCATCCAGAGGGCCGCCGACACGTCCCACGAGCTGAGGTCCTTGTCGAAGGAGGTGGCGCCGCGGAACATGTAGCGCATGTAGAGAGCCGCAGACGTGTTCCACGAGGAGATGTCCTTGTCGAAGGAGGTGGCGCCGGCGAACATGTCGGTCATGGATATGACAGCAGATGTGTCCCACGAGGAGATGTCCTTGTCGAAGGAGGAGGCGCCGTGGAACATGCTGCTCATGGCGGTGGCCGCAGACGTGTCCCACGAGGAGATGTCCTTGTCGAAGGAGGAGGCGCCGTGGAACATGCTGCTCATGGCGGTGGCCGCAGACGTGTCCCACGAGGAGATGTCCATGTCGAAGGAGGAGGCGCCATAGAACATGCCGCTCATGTAGAGAACCGCAGACGTGTCCCACGAGCTGATGTCGGGGTTGCACGTGCTCTTACCGGTCGCGGAGCCGCCGCAGTAAGCGCTGAACAGACAGTTCATGTTGGTGATGCGGCTCACGTTCCAGTCCGAGATGTTGCCGTGCGCAGCCAGGGCGGCCGGCTCGTCGCTGCACCACAGGTCGGCCGCGTCCTGCAGGTCGGGCTTGTTGGTAAAGGTAGTAGGCGCCGACGCGCCGGGAGGGAGTAACGCGCCAAAGACTACGAGGATGAGCTTCATTGTCTGCGGAAGGGAAAGGTGGGGGGGGGCTTTGCGCGTCAGATGCCCCGCTGAGCAGCACGGGAGGCAGCGGCGGAGGCACCTTTTGCAGGATTCCTGGCTCATCGAAGAGCGCGCACGGACAAAGATCTTCGAGTCACCGTTCACAGCGTCCACCGTTTGTGTCCAGTCCGCCTTGTTTGTGCCCTTGGCACCGTGGAGTGCTGGGGGGGGCGACAGGGAGGATGTGGCCCTGAGTTATGTGTACGCCGACTCAGGGTGTGTGGCAGCCAGCTGGCTGTGTGTCTTGTGAGCCTGTTTGTGTCTGTGTGTCGCTCGCGTGCGTGTCGTCATCATCTGTCCAGCGTCCACCCATACCGCGTTGGTGTCCAGTCCGAGCCTGGCTGTTCTTCACCTTTCTACCTACCTACCTACCGCCTGTAACACGGAGCCCGAGCGTCCTATCGTGGGATTGCGTGTATGAACGGCGAGTGAAAAGCGAGAAAGTAGCTCGGCTAGGGTTGCGCAGCTATATGAACAGGAGCGAGTTCGCGCTGCGCTAGGCTCAGACGGCGAGTTCGCGCTGCGCTAGGCTCAGTACGGCGAGGAGTTCGCGCTGTGTGCGCGGCCTGACAGCTGACTCTCTTGCGGGCGGCCTGACTCTCTCTAGTGAGTGAGTGAGCACTCTCTCTCTAGTCTCTTGCGGAGATTTTATCTCTCGACTCTCGGCTGCGTTGGCTCGCCAAAGTCTCTTTTCTCGATGCACGATGGCGCTGGGAGTGTGTGTTTTCGTAGAGAAGCAAACACGCACCGATCGTCCGGGTTCTGTCGAGGCTTGCGCGGTGCGGGCCGGGCCCGGCAGAGGCGAAAGCGAAAGGCTTGCGAGAGAGGGCGAGAGCGGCTAGTGCGAGAGTTAGCTCTCGACACGACACGACAGGGACACAGACACAGACACAGACATATACACACACACTGCGCTCCACCCAGCTCCCGCGTGGGCAGGGAGACGCGAGCCCGACGGAGTCCGGTGGTGGGGGCCCACACAGCCAGCCCCTGCGATGCAAAGGCACCTCAAGTACGAGCGAGTAGCGGGAAGACCGTCGCTACTCCGGCGGGAGAGTGCTCCCCCGCCGCCCCCTGTGCGTCACCCCGAGTGACCTCGCAGCCTACGCCGCGAGGCGCTGCTGTCAGGGGATGTTGGGGGCGCGCAAAGCCGCCTGGAAGAGACGGCCAGGAGCCAAGGAGCGGCCGGAGCGCGGCGAAAGACCGACGGGAAGTGGCCGCCGCATACAGCCTCCGGCGGGCCTCCGGCGGACGCCTGCGGCGTGGCGCTGCGCGCGACCGGCCCCTTCTCGGTGCGCTGCAGGACGCCCTCGCTCAAACGCGCACCTGCCGGGTCGGGGC